TATATTTGTTTCTCAACTGTATGCTACATGTCAATCATTTGTAAAGGTGGAACAGGAGAAAAGCACCTGCCACAAAGAAACCTTTTATGGATATGAAACTTTGATAATTATGTCATGAGCTGGGTTTTTATTGATTATCTCTTTAGGTGTCTTCTAGTTTTTAGTTGTTTTTTTTTTATATTGCCATGGTTTATATGTGCTATAAAGCCGGACCTTTGTGTATTGTGTTGCTTTCTGTGTTTGTGGTCTTTCGTGCTTTCTTTTTTCTTGGTTTATTTCCTGTTTTTTCCCGGTTTCAGTTATCCCTAGTTATCTCTCTGCGTTTTGCATCCCGTTCGATTTTTCCTTGTAGTTTTTGTTTAGGCTTTATCATTCTGGTTTTTCTGGTCTCTCGGTGGAACTTACTATTTTATTTATTATTTTTTGGTTTCGTGTTTTCTGCTCCCTTCTTCTTGTGTTTTATTCGGGAGCTAATCCCCTCCATATAAGCTCCTCTCTTCCTTTGTCAGATCCTTGTTTGTACATGTGTTTTTTGTTTAACCCTCGCTCCACCGGCCATTCTTTTTCATGCCTGGATTCACTGTCTCTACACCTCAGCGTCTCCAGCTCCCCGTTCAGGTACTTCTAGGCCCTTTTGTCTTTTTTTGTTTTGTTTGGCTTTGCTTCTCCGGTTTACTTCAGCGTTTATAACCTGGCGCTGCCAGGCCTGGAACTGGATCCCAACACCTTCAAGGTTGAACTGTGACAAATAAACAACATAAATAATTCACTGTGCAGGGCTCAAACGACCTCATGCACCATTCTTCCTATGGAGCTGAATGAGCCTCTAACAGAATACACATGTAGCGTTGTGTAGCGTTCTGTAGCATTGTGTAGTGTTGTCCATTCACACAAATTTTGCAACATTGTTTTAGATGTAAAATCAGCCCGAGGAGCTCCCCGAGCTGCCCCTAGCCTTCTTTATCCACATCTCCCTCTGTTTGATAAGTTGATTGGACTACTGCTTTTGTCCTGATGGATAAACCCAAAGCAGATTGCTCTCTGCAACATGAGCTGTGCAACTTCTTACCGCTAACACAGAAAAGCGTACATTTAATAGAAAAAGAAGTGCTTGACCTGATTTTTCCTTTTCCTTTTATTTCGTTCTTTTAGACCACCTGCATTGTTTGGCTCACATTTTTCTACACGAAGACATGGGCGTCATCTGCACTTCCTCATGGAGGACTAAAACCTTGCTTCCAGCAGCATGCCACGAAATAGCTAATTGTAGAGAAGAGCTCCATCTCTCAGTCATGGGCCCTGGAGGGTTCACCCACCAAACAGCTGAAGGTGCAGCACCGATGGTACCGGCGGCTTCCAAATGAGCACCATCTGACTTTTATCAGGCACTCGCAAGGCATCTGTTCATTTCAATTCAATTCAGCTCAGTTTCACTCACACGGCGGCACACAAACACTAACGCCTCATCTCCGGACAGTTCCGCCATGCAATCCGATTCAAGCTAATTACAATCCAATCAATTCCGGCTCATTGAAGCCCGAATGAGTCCAGTTGAATTAAAAAAACAACAACAAAAAACGGTCTCTTGCTAGCATCTGTTGTAGGTGTGATTTTTACTGTACTGCTGCACACAGTGGTTCACACTTAGTCCAGAACCACAGAACCCATCACCCCCCCCCCTCTTTTTTCCCCAATCGCCATCCTTTGAAGGCTTAAAACTGTTTTAATCGGGACTTTGAGATCTGAACAGCTCAGCTTTCATTTTGGGGGAACTGAGCAGGAAGTTTGGCTGCACTGGACCTTAGTTTTACACCACTTTTCGACTACTTTCATTTCTCCCTCCATGTGATTTCATTTTCAAAGAAATGGGCCTGACCTGAAAAAAAAAAAAAAAAGTCTGACCGAGTCAAATGAGCTGCAGAGGCCTTCTCATAACAGATAAGGCTTTTTTTTTTTTTTAAGCGCCGATGCTCTGGTGAAACAGGTCATTTTTATCTCGGCTCATTTCAAAGCCGCTTTCAAACTATCAATTAGACCGATTTAGACCGTCATCGCACGGCTGTAATTAACCAAACAATGGCAGATTCATCTGATCTGTGGCAGATCATTTAGAAAATCGGAGAATTTATGGTGAATGGTAAGAGTCTGCCGACTGATCGTCTGGGAGGGCTGGGAGGCTTTGCGGGCCTGGCTCCGTGAACCTGGATATTCTCATTACCCCGATAACCAGAAGGAAAAGAGGCTTTTTAGTTTCACTGATTTCGCACTTCTAGAAGGAGATAAGGGAACTTTTTACGACGTTTCGGCCCAGAAAACAAACATCCCACCACGACTTATCAACCGACTTCGTTTATTCTTATCATCACATGTTTCTTTTTGTCTTTGTCTCCAGAGATTACACTGGATCAGGAAAGAGAAGATTGGCGAAAAATATATTTGGCAATTTGCACAGTGATCCAAATGTTGGGGAGGGGGCCAAAAACAAAACTGCAAAGTGGAGGTTAACGGAGGGCTAACGATGAGGTGTGGAGAGCATGGAAAGATGAAAGAAGCCTGCTCCTTACTTACCAGGAAAAAAAGGGACGTCCCTGTGTGCTGCCGTCAGTCCATCAAGATCTTTATCAGCATTTTCCAGGAAATCAAAGCGGCGATAGAACCTAGTGATGGGAATTAGATCAACTGAAACAAAATGGTGCATTAATGACAGCCTTTAGGCTTTTTTAAAAACATTTTTTAAAGAGTGTCATGGATAGGGGATCCCACTCTCAGGGCCCAGAAAAGCGAATGCTGACTGTGTAACAAATGGATCTAAATGCAAGCGAAGTTCAGACCGCGGGCTGATTCACGGCGGTTGAAATATGACCCAGACTGAAGGGAGGGATTATTGCTGATCTGAAAATGGGGACTGTTAAGTTAACATGACCACAACTTTCCGCTGACCGAAACAGATTCTCTGCGATGGTATTGGAGTGTTTATCAGAATAACGTGTGCCAGTTCCAGTCCTGTAAGTGTTCTTTCCATTTACATGCACATGAAAAGTCCACACAAAGCCCCCCCCTCCCCAATATATTCCGACCAAATAATTTTAAAATGTTGTGTGAAATATTTCCTCCAAATAGCAAAAATATCCTCAGTGGTGCAACAAAGATAAATAGATGTGTGTGTCTGTGTGAAAAACATGTCTAAAGTAAATAATGGGAGTTTACAGAGGCCTTGGGGAAAAATGGCTGTGGATGCCAGAGAGTCTCACAGGGGATTTCAAAAGATCTTCAAATTATATGAAATGAATCTTCATATTAAAAAGTAATCAGTGTAGATTTCAACTGACTGTGGTTCCTCTCCAAGCCTGGCTGGCCCGGCTCATTGGGCTCAGCTCATAACTCTGCTGGCTGCTGCCATCTCAGCGCTGTCTGAAATTTCACATATTGGACAAACTGGGGAGGCGTGCCAGGAAACTAAAAAGCCTTCGCTGTACAAAAAAATATAAAACCTCAGCTGCCAGTAAACATGTTGGCAGAAAACTTTTTGGGGGGGTTAAAGCTAGGAATTATTTGTTATGGACAGGTGATTTTATTTGATTTTTTATTTTTAAAGGGCAGAAAAAGAAATTAAATGAAGAAAGTAGCTGTAAAGCATGGTGGGGGGAGAGTTATGGTTTGGAGATTAGACTCCAACAAGATAAGAAAAACACTTGAATATCTCTTAACCTATATTTGACACATAAGTGTTCTGCTCTGAATGATAAGCTTATAGTCTGACAGAGCTCTTTTATTTAAAATAAATATTTCCGTAGTCTTTCATTCTGAACGGGTCATCTGGATTAGTTCATGTAAAGCAATGCAAAAGACAAACTCTTTCAGAAAGATCATGGAATCTTAAAACTCTCTTACTTGAAGAAGTCTGCTGATCAGAGCTGAACAAAAACACTCTGTGATGCTTTTTAATGTTATTTAGTCGATGGATTTAAAATTTTAAACATCCAGGAATCCCCAAGAAGAGACGGAAGCAGCCAGCTATTAGACAGATTAAGGCCTGGTTCTGTCCTGCAAAACAAAACAGAAACACTCTTTCAGGTGTTCTTGATGTCTGTCTGGAGAGGCCACCGCTGCCGTCCAGGGTGGCTGCAGCTCTTAGAGTTGACTGGCAAAAAATGCTCTGGCTTAGAATTAGATAAGAACATTGCAATTTAATAATACTTTCACATCATTTTATCTGTTAGTGGAGGGAATGAACATCTTATTTGACAATCAGTGGTCCCTTCCCAAATGTCAACATCAGCGCTGTGCTCAACTGTATTTCATTTGACTGAATATTTACAGAAATAGATAACAGACTTTCACTGAACTTACTTTTTGGAGAGAGCCTGATGTGCGAACGGGCTGAGAGAAATCCCCCTGCTGGATGGAGACAAAGCACAGAGACGCTGCTCTCCTTAAACAACAGGAGAGGCTAGAATGACTCGGGCACAAACGCAGGCGATGACGTATGATTTCTGGTTTTATTGTGAGGGAAATATGCCTTTACATTGTTCATCACCGCGGGGGTGAGCTTAATACATAAATAAAACATTCTTACAAAATGCGGCAATAAATCACAAATCGAAGACTTCTTTTTGTACATTTGATTTGTTTTATACATAAATCATATTTACACTTTTGCCCTTTTGTTTTTTAAATTTTTTTCCTTATTTTTTTTCTTTTACATCGTTGAGACAAGCGTGTACCTTCTGTATAGTACAAACATTTCCTTCGAATGAAAGCCGAGGTATAAAAGCTCTCCTCTCTCTCCTGAGAAGACGCTGTGTTCTACTCTAGTGCATTTAATCATTTAAGGCTACACAGGGTGTCACCTGATGGCCACGCTCCTCTCATATTCAGGCATAACGTCATCGGGCACGAGTTCATTTTCCTGACTTTGCATCTGCTGATTGTCTCTAACGGAGACAGGTTGGTGGTTCTGCCCGGTCACCACCCCAAACCCCCCCCCCCCCCCCCCCCCCCCCCACACACACGCCAACCCCTCTTCCCACCCCCTACATCAAAGCCACTGCTTTTCATGGAATAACCAATTACGATCTGACAACTTATTTGTTTCTTCAGTCAATTACAAATGCCATGGGGAAAATGTCACAGAGCGTGAGAGCCCACACTCATCACATTATCTCTGTGCAGCCACGACCCGCCCAGGAAAGAGATGTCAATTTCTCACAGCAGGTAGAGAACAAAAAAACAACCAAAAATAAACTCCAACAACTAAGAAATATTTCCATACTTTCTGAATGCTGTTGTGTGAGGGGAGGGAATTTATTTAAGTTATAGGTGCAGTGCTCCCTAGTGGTCGAAACACGTGGACACCTAAAGCAACAGAGGAAGGGAAAAGAAAAAAAAAAAGCAGGGGAAAAAAGCTCATTTCTTACCGATTCTTTGAAAGGATTACACCAGAGCCATAAACAAAGGACATGAAGCAACTAATTGGCAGACCCCGTAAGCCTCTTACAAGACACACTATAACAAACCAGCCTGGACATGGAGTCAAAGCCTCCACACAGGCAGTTAACAAACAAGCACTCCAAAAAAACAGGAGACAAAAGAGGCAGCGGGGAGGCGGCGCCGTGATGCTGCTCGGCCGGTTGCAGCAAACTCTCCCTCTTTTTTCCTTCTTCTTTTTGTCTCTCCATAGCTTTAGCAGGAGGACGGTTTGTTCCTCTTTCTTTCCTACCTGTCCAGCAGGTAGCTGTGCGGCCCTAAACGTGACCCCAGTGGGTCTAAAACATTAAGACAAATCCGAATGGAAAACACTCCATGAAAGCCTTGTCTTTCGATTTGTGTATAAAATAAAATAAAAAAAAAACAGAATGGCAGCATTTGTACGCGTATTTGAACGAATCAGCTCTCTTTGGATCTTTCTTGTTTTTGATTTTTTAAAAAGGGGGGGGAAATGGCTGAATACTAAGATGTCCTTGACAGAAAGGACCAGCGTTTGGGACCAAAGTGCCAAAGAACACTGAACAACATGAAATGGTCAGACTCAGGTGGAGTCACTATGTGGGACGTGTAAACATGTTTAAGTGAACCATCTTCCTCACTTACAATACGGATGTTTTGCCTCCACAAATTTAAAGCTTCAGGTGTGTCAACAGACTTCATAAATGGAGCTGAAGGCTAGAGAGAGAGAGGTGCTCACGGCAGAGTTACATAGAATTAAAAAACTAAAGAAAGCCCACATCTCTGAGCTCAGGTGAAAGATGAAATAATGAAAGGATCCCATTGACGTCATCCAAATACTCTGAAACACACTAAGAGGAGGCAGATCGAGCCGTTAAGACGCCCAGCAGACATCCACGATGAATCAACCCCCCCCCCCGAATCAGTCCGCCTGCTTTTCAGATGGTTTCCTTCATGGTGGATCTGATCAGCAGCGTATGGGGTGAAAAAAGGAACCCGGCGCTGAAACGGCACCGAGCTTCCTTATAATAAAAAAAGAAAACAAGAAGAGAGACAGAAAAATGTTGCTAGGATAACAAAGAATCTCCCTTCTGTGGTTTCAGTCTTAAAGTGAACCGCTTTGAGAAGGCCTCACTTTGGTCCACTCACGGCCTGCGCTGGACTCCAGGGACGTCCAAGCCGGTGGGACCTGAGAGGCCCTTAACTTTGAGGGGGGCTTTTCGGTGAGAGACACTCTAATCGTTTCTTTGGAGAAAGGAGGTGGACTTTTAGACTGCGAGCGCACAGATTCCATCATCCGCGACATAACCGGATCCTTAAATGTCAAAAGCAGTGGTGTTACGCGGTAAAACCCAGCAGAATCCCAGCACGGAGCCGTTCTCCTGCATGTACAGTCATACAACTAGTTAACCCAAAGCCTTTTTTTCGGGTTGACTGGAACAGCCCCCCTAGAGTCCTGCGCGGTACGCAGAGGGGTGGCGTGGCGGGGGTCGGTGGGGATGACGAGCAGGAAGAAAGCGGCGCCCCTCAGCAGAAGTAGATCTCTCCATCCACCGGCGGCTCAGGGAGATGCTGAGGGTCTGCGTGGGACAGAGGAGAGGAGTCAGCGTCACACCAGAGGGCTCACAGCCATCGCTCTTCGCCAACAAAAATTTGCCTGTTGAGATGCTCTTTTTTTTTGCTTTTTGCTTTAGCCTTGCTTTAGACGCGGGGAGAAAAACGGCTACATTTACACCTCATTTAATAAACTCTTACTGGGGCTCGAAGGGTGCGTCAACTCCCACTGAAATGTGGGACAGCTGAATTATTTACCTTCCTGGCTAATTTAATATTGCAGCAAATCTTTGCGGCGCCTCTGAACCGGATGGAATACTAAGCAGATCTGAGAGGTCTTAACATTTTTTTCGAAAAGATTGCAGATTGTGGAATGCGTGCCTCTGATCCAGCTGTTGCAGCTGACACTCACAGTCATTCAACAGCTGTGTGAGCACAGGCTATGTAGCCCGTTCTGCTGTTAGATCTGCTCATGTAGAGACTGATAAAATGTTCAACGCTACATGAGGATACAAAAGAATTCTTGAATGGGTGAGTCTAAGATCCGCAGCTGACTGATGTGCTCTGACTCAGTCGTGCCCTTGATGTTGCGGCAGAGGGGAACAAAGTCAGAAAAGAGCCACGTCCGCTGGTGATGAAACTGTCTGATTTGTGAGGAAATGGCTCTCATTTTACACGAAAATAAGCGCAAAGCTGCTTTTTAATCGGCGGACCAGGCAACCATGAAGAAAGACGCCCGTCAGACAATGTGTTTATGCAAAACGCACCAAAGCTATTCTGGCTTGATCTGATTATTCGGACGTGACCTTATATGGGTTAGCCAGTCAGTTCTTATTGAGGACAAGGTCTCAATGCGTTTTTTATCTTTCTGGGGAGGTAAACGTAGCCATTTAGAGAAATCCACATCAGTGTTTCTCTGTGAGTTTTGCCCTGGCGTCTGTTATTTGAACACTGACGCGTCTTTTCCCCGCTGCCCTCGCTCCCCCCTGACCATGCTGGGCACCGAAAAGTCCCACTCAATATTTGCCCAGAGGCTTGTATGAGGGTTTGGATATCTGTTAGTCAAATTGTTTTAAAACAAAAGGGAGGCTCTGTCTACGAGGGATAAAAAAAATCCCTCCTTTCCAAAAAAAAATAAGTCTTTATAATGAGCGGCAGCCCAGGAACACAAACAAAAAATGAGGGATTTCTTTCAAGTTTTAAAAAATGGGGGTTTTCACTCGCCTCATGTAGGCTTCAGATAAACTTTGTTTTCGCTCACAATAAAGGCAGCGGATTCTGCCTCCCTTCCCGAGAAAACAAAGGGGCTTGACAGTTGAAAAACTGAACACATCCTTCAAGAGTGCGGCACTTTCTGTACCCTAAATCGTTTCTTATTGGCAGCTCGGCAGATGAAAAGGCGCAGAAGCGTTCGGTCTCTGGGGGTTTTGTCGACCATTCTCTCTCCTGAACGCGACGCCCACTGATGTTCATCAACCTGACTCATGTTTTACTATCTCCTCCACAGCTGAAAGCCGTTTCATACCGCTTCCGCACAAGTCTGAAGTGAACGCTACTAATTGTTTTTGTTTTTTTTATTAATTATTTTTTATACCTGCGACCTACCCAGCATGCACAGCAGCGTGACAAAATCCCAGGAAGCCTTGGACCTCTGGTGTCAGAGCCGGGATCAATTTTTGTCACTCACAAAACAACTGTAGACCTTGTATATTTATTCCCCCCTTTTATGTCTCATTATCCATCCAACCACACACGTTCTTTACGATAAAAAACAAACATTGTGCGTCTGATGTGAAGTGTCCTTGACAATAAAACACTCCACTTCAACCTGATGACTCACTGGGAGACACTGAATAATTCATCAGAATTCATCCTCCCGCTCACCATTCTCTACCTGCTGTCTGCGCGCTCCCCCCCTTGCTCTTCTTCTTTTTCTTCTCCTTTCCGTCTTTGCTTTTGTTCTTGGCCAGCTGCAGGAAGCTCTTTGAGATCTGGTTGTTGGCCTCGCTGGCCTTGAGGTTGGTGGAGGACGAGCTGAAGGGATTGAGGCCCTTTCCTTTGGGCTTGGACCGCTGGGCCTGCAGCCTCGGCAGGGAGGCGGAGGACATGGAGGAGAGCTCTAGTGGGTCCAGCTCCAGGGACTGGGAGCTGCCGAGGAACAGCGACTCATCGGACGTGGTAGAGGGAGTCCTCTGCAAGTACAGGAGGGAGGTTAGATACACGAGCTCACATTGGTGCCTTCATTGGCGAGTGAATATGTGTGATGGGGATTTAAAAGCGATTCTGCAAGAGCCCAGCTCTGAGAAATTAAAAAAAAAACTAATAATCTGTTTGGAGGAGTTTTTCAAAATTGACTTTGAAGAGGACCCGAGTTCAAGCCTCTGATGTGAGCCTCCACACACTAACTCTGCTGAAGTGTCATTGAGCAAAAACACTGAATCCTCCCTTCGTGCTGAGGGCTCGCCTGTGGCCGCCCTACAGACAGAAGAGGCCCCTCTCCTGCGGGGATCAGCAGGTCATGCCGTTGTTGCTGCTGTGAATTCCTAATGGCCCCCGCTCACCTCAGACAGGCGGAACTCCTCCATCTTGTCGAGCTGCCGCCTCATGGCGTCCCGGTCCCGCTCCAGCTTCCTCTGGGCGTCTCGCAGCCTCTCCAGGTCTTTCTGGTACTCCTCCTTCTTGCTCTGCAGCTCCTGTTTCTCCTCCTCCATCACCTTGTGCAGCTTCAGCATCTCCTCCTCCTGCAGGAGTTGGGAAGCATAATGATTGATTGGTTGAAGCGCTTGGTGTCTGGAGAGGTGCGCGTTTGTGTGTTCAGGTTTAGCAGGAAGCTACAATAGCTGACACTGTATGGCATAAAGGGGGTGGGACTCGACTAAGGCCATGTGAAATCATATGACTCCATTTGTTCAACTCCCAGGAAAAGGCACAGAATCCACTCTTAAGAATACAGCTCGGGTCTGCTGAGGTAAACGAATTCAGTCTTAATGTGAGGAGAAAAAAAAACTGGAAATCGAGACCTCACTGGTGCTAAGTAAATAATTTAGAGTCTTCTCCTGTTTTTTCAAGTAAACTATAGATTTGAGAAGTTTATCCTTTACCTGAGTATTTCATTCAATTCAATAGTTTTACAATACTATATATATGTGGTCCAAACAACACCTGAATTCTCAACATCAGCACAAGGCCCCAAATCTGCCATTTTCAGTGCTCACTTTCTGGCAGTGTAACCAAAGAAGCCCATAGTTAGTCACGTTTGGATACTGAGTGAGGACAGGATGGACCACTGGGAGGTCTTACCGCTTCTATATGGAGGTGAGGTCACTCAAAAAGAGTTGATCTTTAAGCTGTTCATCTGAGGAACTTGGCGCCATTTGAATGGCTGGATTAAAACTATCCCTTTGTCTCCAAACAAATAAGAGAGCATCTTACCTATAGAGGCCGGGTATTGTGCATGATTTTGTGTGCTTTTTTTGTCTCGTTTAACTTTCCTTGGAAATTCAAATGAAAAAAAGTGTGAGAAAGACACACTCCCTATCGACTTAACTGTCACCCCCCTAGAATGCTCGCTTAAGCAGTGTCTAACTAATGTGCAGCTGCCTGACATCAATAAATGACTTTAAAAGGAGTGACTTCCTGCTGAGGCAGAGAACAAGAACTGCAGTGACACTAATGTAAACAAACTTCTTCACCAAACAGCAAGGGCTATTTTAAGGCTCAAATCGACCCCGAGCCTAATGAGGACCAAATCTGGTTGAGGATAATGCCCGGTTACCTGTAAGTGCACCAGAGTCTCCCTTTGAGTGAGCGACTGCTCCCTGTGCTCCCACTCCCGCTCCCTCCTCCTCTTCTCCTCAGCGTGAGCTGCCTGTTGTCTGTGAAGGGAGGCCAGCTCCTGCCGCTGTTTCTCCAGGCTGCGCTGCTTCTCCTGCTCAATCAGCGAGCTGGGCCGCGAGGACTGCCGCGACAAAGACGCACAGGAGGAGGAGCGCTCGCTCAGGGCCTGCCGCTGGTCCTCGATGTAACTGTCCTGCTGGACGACAACCGCCTGGGACGGACGGAGGCACACGTGAATTTTTTTTGTTTCTGCATCGCGGCTTTGCTCATTTCACATCTATCTCCCCTTGTTTCACACAGGAGGAGAGAGGCAGAAATTCACAGCGACAGCTGAAAGCTTCACAGGGTTGCATCATGTCTGTACTGGTGTGGTGCACACAGATGCACGGCATGGGAGCCAGCGTACCTGTAGAGTGCTGAGCAGGAGGTGCAGGTTGGAGACACTGTGGAGGACCTGCTGTTGGGAAAGAGAGAACGCTGAGTGTCACGTGACCTCAAAAACATCCCGCTGTTGATGAACATGAAGAAGACAATCCCCCGTCAGCTCACCGGAGATGACAGATTGATAGTGAATTCTTTAAAGCCGTGCTCAACTTTGCTTTTCTAAACTGCACCATTCGTGGAGGCAGCGTTTTATGAATGTACATCTACCAATTAGAGTTTTAGAAAAAAAACTAGACTGACTGAGTGAATAGAGGTGACATTTACTCCTTCCAAAAGCTGACAAAGAGACAGAGTCACCGACCTTTCCTCTGCGATCACCGGCATACAAAAAAGATCCCTGTGTTAGTGGGAGCTGCCCAGGATAGGTAGCACAGAACTGTATCTGCCAGCTCTGTGTAGCTGTCAGGCTGGACAGAGGGACATGATTTACTGTAAAGAAAGTCTTCTTAAAACCATTTAAAATACCCCCTGAACAGTGAGACAACCTTAATCACAAAGTCTCTGCTGCGGGGACTGGATGAGTGTGCCGTTTCATTAACTATTAACAAGGTACTTAGCATAATATTCATGTGGCTCTGATGTGAACTCTTTATACGTTCTCCTTTCTTTTTTGTTTTCTTGCTATCGGCTTTTTTCCCCCACTTATTTTGTTGGTGTCACTCCCCCCCTTCCCTCCCATTTTTGGGGGCAATATGTTCACAGTAATGTTCATAAACGTCAATAAATCTTCTGCAGCTCTGCTGCAATTGCAGCTGATGCTGGTAACAATGATGTTGACACGGAGTTGTGAGCGTTTCCATGTCAACGGTGGCGGTAAGCGCATTAGACACAGGAAGTCGGCCTGTACCTCACTGTTCCTCTTCAGCAGCTGCAGCAGGTTGGCGTTTCCTCCCTGCACACAAACAGGGGCACACGCAGTGAGCACAGACCCAGCGCTGGGATGCCCTGACACGCACACATCTGCCTGTGCGTGCAGCATATGTGAGGCTGTTTGCCGTACATTTCACTGAGTGAACACGATGCATGCTGTAAGAGTGGCTAATTGTGGTTATGATTATGTCTGGCAGCAGGCTCTCGTGGTTCCGCTAAATTTCCATGAGGTAAACATGTCTTAAAAGCTTTTATTTACAACAACAACAACCTTACATAAATGCGTATTCAACAGAAGATGGAAGGCTTGAATCAAGGCACTGTATTTTTAATGATCTTGCTGATTCTTCTTCTACTGCTGCACTCTCTTTGAACTCTGGCTCGGTGCCCGGGATGAAAAATCTAAAGCTTCCCTTTTGTTCTGTTTGGAGAGCAGGAGATACTGCTTATAAGATGAGAAAATGCTTTTGTTAAATGGCCAAAACATGGTAGAATGACTCCATTAAAACAGTCATATGAGGGACATAAGCAGGCTGACTGACAGGAAAGGGCAGAAGCTATAATAGCAGCATTGAAATCCAATTAATTTATTTTCATCCACTACCAGATAGTTAAACAGCTGATGGTCGCTAGTGGCAACAGGACCTGGCAGGAAGAGTCAAGAGGCTAATTTACTGGAAGGGAGGGGATGAGGAGAAGCAGCTAAATTGATCTTAATGGTGTTTGTTAATGTTGCCGGACAAATGCAGACCCACATATGCCCTCAGGCTTTCTCTGAGGGGGCACGGCGTCTTACGAGTGAAAGGAAAAATAAATAAATAGAATAACCGGATGCTGAGGTGCAGACCTTTTTCAAAACGCTGTCTGACTCTGTCCTGCGCAGATCTCCTGCGGTGTCCTCGCTCTCGTCTCTGTCCCCACCTGTACAGAAGGCGGACCACAGCGGCTGTCAGCAAAGAGTACAAAACATTTCAAACCAGCACTCGGAGATGAAACGTGCTTGCACAAGGCCAGGAGGAAGGCTGTGGGGGTGAGCACATGCTCAGGACAGTCAATAAGTGCTCTGTAACTGCATCCGGAAGATGCCCCCCCCCCTACCTTCCCGTCTCTGGAACACAAAAAATCAATTGTGTCGTCCCAAAAACACTATAACTGTTTTCCTCCCATTGTTACAACACGTTTGGAACTTTGACGTCAGGTCATTTTAAAAAAAGTTTATTATGTTTCCCACTTAAAATGTTTTAAATAATAGTGAACAACAGTCATCATAAGGTTAATACTTATATAAAACATAACCTTTAGATGATAAATGTTCTCCCTCATATGTCTGTATAATAACTTGAAAAGTGTCCAATCGATGGAAGCATTCTGTGGCTCGGTGCTTCAGTGGAAGTATTGATCAGATATTTACACAGTTAGGATACACAAGCTATCAGCCAGCACACCATGACTTCAACAAGTTGCTATTAATGGACTGATGTCATCATCATCTTCCTGTGGAGGTTACGATCCACTGACTTGCCGTCATGCTCAGATGAAGTCCATAAAAGCCGAGGCTTTCAACCTCGTTTAGCTCTTAACCCTTTTATGTCCTCCCTGAGAAAAATATCAAAGGATTTTTTTCTGCATTTATTTCATATCCTTTGAGTGGTAATAATTCAGATCAATGCTTTTTTTTTTTTATTCCAAAATGGTTATTGCATATTGCATACTTTTATTTCTTGGCAATATATACTGAATCCAGAGATGGTTTACCTTCAAATTCTATATAGATTTACTGTTATACTAATTTAGTTGTACTGCTATTTGTATCTTAGATTTGTCTTTACATTATCGGTCATCTCCATACAAATATACTCCAGGTCTACTGCTAAAGGTAAACACATTCATTTAGAAGGAAAATCACATTTTCATGTACCTGGAAGCGCGTGGTCTATTTCTAAAGCTTTTTTCGAACTCATAAAACCCTGAAAAAAACCCGACAACAAAAAAAATAAAAATAAAATAATGAACTTCTTTGGGGGGGCTACCAAGTGTTGACAATATGTTTTTCAGTGAGCTGGTCACATAAGCAGGATGATATTAGGCCAAACTTCTGTACCTGAAATTACTAAAATCTCTTTTGGATTTGTATTGTGTGCTTTGGTATGCTTGTGAAATTCTTTGTATTCTTTGTCAATCTGGTATTCTTGAATGCCATGTCCTATTGTACGCAATTTGTGTCCAAAATTTCAAGTGGAGTCAAGAGGCTCACAACACCAATAACATTTAGCTGCTGTGAAAACAGATACAAAGAATAAACTCAAACTCTGCTGTATCTTTGGTATTTCTATTTAAGTAAGTCACAGACATGTCCTTAGGAACAAAGGAAACAATGCCAACTTGTGATAAATGGTTCAAATTGTTCACACATCCAGTTGTTGAAAATTGACTTTTTTTATTTTACATGCTACTTGTTACGTTTTCTTTTAAACAAAATTTAAGCAATTGTGCCATTTTAAAAACATCAAACTGATGCAAGTGCCTTTACGTTGCATCAGTTCTCCATTACAGCTCAATATCTGCCGCAGTATCAGCTTACAAGCCATCAGTTCAGAGCTATCGCTCCAGGCCACGTTTCCCCTTAGGAAGCCTCAGCTCAGCCATCCAAGTTCCTCCTATTTTATCTACTGCTCTGAAGGGGGGGGCTAGTGCAAAGTGTAAGGTGTTGCTCTCTGCTCCTATGACACCACTAAGACTCTACTCAAATGCAAAAAGAAGAAATGTAATGTGTGTTTAGAGACTGTGGATTCTTTGACACAGTATGTGGGTCAGTGGCGCCGGACCAGAATCTCTCAGCGACCACACGAGCGTGCGATTTCGCGTCAGCAAACAGAGGGACGGTCTTACTCTTACTGCTGTGCATCTGGTGACTGTCGAAGCCTCCGAAGGTCTCGGCCCGACGGGGCAAACACACCGGTCCGGCACCTCCTCCCTCATGGACGCTGGCCATTGCACCTCCCAGGCTGCTGTTCACCAGCCCCTGCAACGTCTCCACTGTCACACACACAGACAACCAGAGAGAGGCAAACATTAGTGGCCAGGTCAGTAACTGGATTATCCCAGTTAACTGTGTTACAGTACAGTTCTGCACCCATGACTCCATATAGGCACTTCTGCTTTCAACCTGGAACAGGCTCCTGTTGCTTAGCAACTATTGACAACCTCTTTGATCCGCAGAGCTTCTTCACTAAAAGTTCAAACACATTTGCCGTCTGACAGACGTATCAAATCTGGCCGGACACGTGTTTGTCTAGATGCAGACAGGAGTCTGGGAACTGTGACTTGTCCAGTGAAAACAAGAACAGTCAAACATGTCGCCGGTGGATGCAAGCCCACTGCACATAACCGTGAAGCCGATTCACAAATCAAATAAAACGTCCTGTAGGACGAGTAAAAAAATACAAAGATAGGGGGGAAAAAACCTTCTGGAATTTTATGAATTAAAGTAATGCCATGCTGATTCATAGCAAAAGAGGTAACATTTCTTAAAATGTTGAATAGTTACCAAACCTGCAAACTGTGAAACTGCACCTTGTTATTTTTGACCTGAGTACATGTTTATGCAGAACAGTGTTTACCAGAAGCAGTTTAGCAAGCTTAGAAGCCAGAAACAGAAGTATGAGTGTACTCTGTACTTACAGCTTTTACTTCTGCATTCATTCAGAGAAACTGCTAAAAACCATGGGTCATTTAACCTGGAAATACACTAAACATACTGTCATGGAACATCACTGTGGTGTGTAAAAGTGTTAAAACTGCATCTTGCTGAGTAAATTTGGTTAATTTCTCTGAAAGAAAGCAAAACTATGGGAATGCAAAAGTAATATGATATCTTTGCCTGGGAAGTCATTCACAGCCTGAAAAAAATATGAATAATTGCTCACTGTTCTGGAAACTCAGCTTGCCTTTTAGAAGAAAAAGAAATCAGTAGTTTTATTTTTCAATCCTCTAAAAAATGACTCAAGCTGGCTGTTGAAATTTCAAGTGATCTTAATGGGCAGAGAATGTGCTGTGCTTCCACGTCTTTCTCCACATTTCAGTCTTTTTGTCACAGTGTACGGCTCAGCATCTCTCCCAGCTCATGCTGATTTCCTCTCATACACATTTGATGAGCTGGGATGTGAGAGCACCAAACAAAGTTCGAATAAATGTTAAAACACAACCCATGTCTCCTTTCATGTTTTCTGTACACTTTTTCGAGGATCGTGCCAAAACTTAAACGATTTTGCCCTCTGCTTGCTCTTGTTTTTGGATGAGAGGCAGCTATCAATTAAAGTGCAAGTTGTCATCTGAATGATTGCTAGAAAAGAATGTATAAATTAACTCTGTCATGCAGAATCAGGCAAGTCTGAATATACCCCATCATGAAATAGAGGTTTGATATAAATTAGGAAGAATCAGCATACACCTCACAAGTGCAGTATTGATACATTAAGGAGCCTAAAATATGAGATTTATTAATAAAAACATCAAGTGGTCATTGTAATTTCCATAAATAACCTGCATCCCTCTCACTGTATTTGTATCCCTTCATTCTGCTTCATTGCAACACTCCCTAAATGAAAGAAACTTCTCCAGTACACACATAAGAAGCGCTCTTTTCCCCCGTCTTACCTTCCTGCAGGGCATCCTTCATGATGGAGGCCCCCTGGGGCGGCTCCTGGCTGCAGGCTGACCTGAAGAAAGGTTCAACCTGCCGGCAGGCCTCTTCGCCTGGGTTCATGCCCTCCCACATCCCCCTGAAGAGCCGCACCTTTTCCTCCAGCAGCGACATTATCTCTGTATCCTTCTGCTTCAACATATCTGATCAGTGGAGACAGACAGGAAGGCCGGTGAGGGGCATACTTGATGATGCTAGGAGCGAACTTCGCCCTGCTTTCATTCACATGGTCACATTTAATATGTTTCTCTCACCTCTCATTTCTTTGGCTTTGGTTTCTAATTGTCTCTTGTCATCCTCAGTCTCGCTGGGGATCCCTTCATCCTCATCCTTATCCCTGTCGAGTAAAAAAAAAACATGATGTACAATGACAAGTGAAATCTCTATGATGCACTCAAGGTCTGAATAACAAAAGAGGATCTGACAGTGTAACTATGAATTATCAAAGTCAGGGTGCAAATTTATTCAAAGAAATCGTTTTTTTTTTTAAGTTGGACTTCTGGTAATCTAAGTCAGATGGATTTCAAACTTTTTTCAAGCTTTGGCTACATCCCACAACCTTGGACAACTTCGAGATTGATAAAGATGGGTTTCTTTGCATTCTTTGCATAATTGAAAAATCAGTCAATATGTACCAGATTTTGTCAACCTACCACCTCTAAATTTGCCATCAGAATGACTGCATGAGGATCAATTTTCTTTCCATCTTCATTTCTGCCAATAGCTTGATCTCAGTTCTGTATTCTGGCAGGAATCAGAGCAGGATGGAGAGAGACAGAGAGCTAAATCTCTCTCCTTCCTACTGGCTGCATTCAAATAATCCTCTGCTTATAGTGAGCTGCCCTTGAAGCCAATCCAGCATTAAACTGTCCCCGAGTACATCCCATCCCCAGGTAGAGTCGTACTAATCCTCCTGACAGCGCAGAGCTCTGTCTAAACTTACCATATATACTACTATCTAAAGTACTGGGCAGGGTCCTGCACTCTAAAGGGGCCGGCCCAGAGTACTGAGCACAGTAAAGGAACATTTCAGTCACAGCTGAGTTTAAAAAAAGGCAGTAACATGCAGAGTTAAGGCCAGTGTTGGGGTATAAGGCAGTAAAATATTTCTCAGGTAATAAAAGGGCTTAACGGACTTACATTGGGGATATTGAAAAACCCAAACGCAGAGCCGATAGAGGTTTGACTCACATGGACTGCATGGCGTTCTGGATGAGCTGCATCCAGGTGTTGCGCTCGTCCTTGGAGCTGGCCTGAACTTCGATCATCTCCGGCTTCTCGATGCCCGCAGTGATGAGGAAGAGGCCGCGCTCTTTGTTAGCCACCTCCCTAACAATCAGCTTCTGGAGGGAGATAACCGTGGAGCGCTGGTCCTGCAGGGAGGGACGGGCGGGGGAAGAAAGGGAGTGTTTGATGGAGGTGGCATGGGAGGGGAAAAAGAAGAGAGAGGGAGGATTGAGAAAGGGAAGAGGATGACAAGAGCAAGAAAAAGGGAGGGTTGAAGCGCGGTAAAACAAGAGGAGAGGGGGTAATTAAGGACCGAGGGGAGGAGGGACAGACAAGTGGAGAGAAGACAAAGGAAATGTCATTTCTGTTAAAGCTAGAAGGAAAAATGTTTTAAAAGACGCAGAGAGATAAAGAAAAGAACAACACGGAGTGAGATCCCCACGGCTGCCAACATTTGAGCGCGCGAGCGCCACAAACCGCTGTTTGATTTCTGCTCCATCAAGTCAAACTCTTCAGCTGTAACCACATCTCAACATTTTTCTGGCAAACCGCTTGTCTGAGGTTTAAAGAATAGGTTAAGATTTTTCTGTTTCTCTTCCTCGTGTGACTGCACTGTAAACAAAGGGAACAAAAATACAAAGCTCACGCTCTGACGTTCAAATCAAATCAAAAGGGTATCTGGTGAGATTGTTCTGGGTTTTTTTTTCTCTCCACATAATTCTTTGTTTTTTCGACATCCCTGTACTGCAGCCCAGTGATAAGAGCTGCCACTGGCAGAGGAGAAAGCTTGAATTTGCAACAGGAAATAGAGAGAAGGAAACTGTCTCTGTCCTGTTTAAATAAGGACAAATCTCATTCAAACCAAATATCTCAAAACCATAATTATTTAAACTTAAGAAGATCTTGTTCTAAAACTCATCCAAATGCTCCTGATTTTGTGCAACTTCAAATAACAAAAAATGTACCATCTCTCATTGTGTCAACAGCATTTTTTAAAGATAGATGTCATTGTACTGCCACAGGCCTGCCTCTGTTTTCTTTATGCCTAATGTGTGACAATGAGAGCGCTCCGTGCCATGAAGCTGCGAGTCCTGTAAACATGGGAAAAACAACTCAAAACCTACATGATTTATCACAGCTGGGTTAGAAGCCCAGGGCCAGAGCCGAGTTATGAGGTTGAGCTGGCGTGCAAGCAAGAGGAAGGCATTATTGCACAGTGGGGAGAGTAAGCGGAGCAGCTAATGCTAACAGCAACTGCGGTGGGATGGGAAAATATGACAACAACCTCTCTGGCAGGGCTTATAAGATCTTAATAACTGGAGGGAGGGCGCAAGAGAGCATGGAAAGGAGGGGAGAGTTGAGAGTAAGGACCTACCAGCACAGCAAAGACATATTTCTGGTCTTTCTCCTGGAGGAAAACCAAGATGTCTGAGAGGAGCAGAGCATGGACGTCTGGAGGACAAACAGAGAACAGAAGAGAAGTAAATAAAGATCCCATTTCCACATTTAGAAATGCATAAAGAAAGAATTGTTTGTCTTCCCTCACCCTTTAGTCTCCCCTGTGTGTTCTTCAGCTGCAGCGGGCCGTCGTGGATCAGCTTCCTCCTCAGCAGGTCATTCCTGGCAAAGATCTGACCGCTCTTCATCATCATGATGGACTTGGTATCCAGTCGGCTTTGAAATTCTTTCAGCCGCCGTCTCTTGTCGTGCTCGTTCACTTTGCTGTCGACCGCCGCGATCACCTCCTTCACCAGCCGAACCGCCTCTGCCAGGTCGTCATAGTCCTCCTCGCTCTCTGCGTTGGTCACAAGGTGGCAGGTCAGAATGGACGAAGAATTAGAGGGACTGGTAGACTCGGTAGAGACTTCCATTCAGGGCCATTATATTCAAACCAAACGCATTTTGTGAATTTACCACAAGCTTGATCTGATATAACACAGATCAAGCTGACGGGGGGAGCAGCACAGCTGAGAAAGTGTTTACACTGAGAAGAGGGATGAAGTGATATTTGGTTAACACTTGTGGTATTTATCCATACGGCTGCGGTACATGTAGGCTTTTCCAACATCTACTCTCCATTCCGTATGATTTTGTGATCTGAGATGAACATTTCAGATTTGCACTTTCTAACATCACATTTTGAAGACGATCACCTTCCAGAAGCACTTTTGTCTTCTTCCTTAACATGAGAAATATTTATGACAATCCTAACCCTAACCCAACCCTGATGTTACACGTTACAGGGCTGATATTGTGAGAAACTCTATAAACTATGTGCCTATATACATATATACAAATGTTTTTAGTGTAGTATTCAGAAGATATTTATGCTAATGTTAACAATGTGGCTCATCCAGCTTTACTGATTAAAACGCACTGGTAAAAGATTTCATTAAATTGTCAACAGTTGACGCCATGATGAGTATTAGAATTGTGTATTTATCTGGGAGTGAAACAAATGGCTCAAAAGCAGACTACTTTCCTCCTGAGGTTGCTGTACTTGAATGCTCCCATATGCAACACATCAACATTCTCTCAAACTGTGAGAATACAGTGTTATTTCCTTGCAGTATATGTGAGAGCTGCCAGGAAGGAGTCTTCTTAAAGAACCTTGGGATTAAGTCAGAGCCCCCACATGGCACTATAAAGAGGCTCTCGGGAAGGATTAGAGAAAACGTACACAGTAGGAGGCCAACTGATGAGAGGTGCTTTAAATCAGATACAAATATGGTGTGAAGTGTCTCAGATCTTGAAAGTATATTTGATCTGCTACCATACCTGTCTCAGTTTTATGAAACTGGATGAACTCATGTTTTTTTTTAAAATGACTTTAAAGGTTGTTTCTTTTAAAATGACATATTTATGTTTCATTTCAGTGAAATTGACGACCTAAACTCTTATAGAAAAACATTTTTCAAAACTTCTAATAGGTTGCTTTACTTTAATAATCAGGCAGACGATCAATCAAATAACATCAAGCAAATCTTAAAATGAATGTGTATTTCAAAAAAGCTATACAGGGGAGACCTGGCAGGTTTTTAGAGAGACATTTAACATTTTGGTCAAAGCATCTAACATCCAAGAAAACTTTCCTCATGAAATGTTTGGTTTGAACTACAAAATTAACTTGTTAGTGTAATGATTCAAACGCCATAAACTGTTTCATTGCCCATCTTGGTTTTCTCCTACTAGCACGCGTGTGAGTTTGAGAGACAGAGAGAGAGAGAGAGAGAGAGAGAGAGAGAGAAAGAGAACGAGCAAGAGCGAGAGGGAGATAGAGAGAATCCTTTGGTTACAAGTTCAAAGAAAAAACTTAATTCATGACTTGAGGTGATGTCTTTTTTTTTAACTGACTTCAAACCTATTAGTTTAAATCCCCTCTCCTTAACTGCACTGAGGGGGACAAACATTGTGCATTAATAATCTGTCGTTATCAAGGATCTACCCAATTAAAATTGACTCCCTCCTCCTTGGTCCCTCCATTATGAAGTCCTGAGCGCGCAGTGAAAACACAGCTGATGTGAAACCAACCTTTTACATGCTGGAGCATTCTCTGTATCAGCACGGGGTACTTTGTTATCCTCTGGGTCACCAGCAGAATGCATTCTGGGATGCCAAGCCTCCGCACAATGCTGCTACTCATCTTTTTCTGGGGGGATAAACAAGAGGTGCTTCAGAGAGACGAGCCCACGCAACAGGTGGCAGGGGCTTTACACAATCAACCGGAAAGTTTCAAACTCAGGAAAGAGTGAAAATTAGGTAATGTTGAGATCAGGATCAGGATAGTGAGCTTTAAGGTCTGACCGCCCATAAACGGTGTTCTGTTTGCGAAAACTCTCTATAAGTGAAAGGGTTGTATCTGGAAGGGAATAGTATGTAAGAAAATTGTTCTCTCACTTTGATAAAGGCCTTGAAGCGTCTGTCTTTGGTCAAGAGGTCTTTGTATAAGTTGACGGCTTCGTTGTGGCGGCTGCAGAACCTTCCGTAGGCCTTCTTCATACTGTCACCAATGGATCCCGAGAACTACAGCAGAACAAGGCAGACGTGCGAGTGCTCATACTATTACACTGCCCATGTGGTTGGTGGGTTTCTGCACCGACAGGGTGTCGACGCAGCAAACAATTATGATACTTTTGAGAGAAATCCAAACTTTGAGTGTTGGCGCTCTCACCTGGCTGAGCAGGATGTCTCCTATCCTGTTGATGATGAAGCTTCCCTCCCAGCCTTCCATCTGCCTCTCCTTCTTCCGCTCCAGGAGCCGTAGGAGGAGCTGCGAGTGGATATCCAGGAGTTCATCGAGGGCTGGGAACAGCTTCTCAAGAGTTTGGAGCTCCAGCTGCACCTCGTTCTGCAGGCCTTTGCTGTACACTTCTGACATGATGCGCAGCGTCCGGATGTGATGCATTTCTGTCTGCATCAGCTCTGAGGACACGAAGAGGGACGCGATTACAAGCCACGACAGAAGCAGCACTGTCCGAACGAATGCTGTTACAGAATTCTGCAAAGTGCCTAATCTAATTCATTAAATCATTAAATCATTTTGCTTGGAACTCTGGCATCTTTCGCAAGGGTAAAGCTTCTCGGAATCGGGTGAATCAAAACTTTCCACAAGCGGATTCGAGGGAAAAAAGGAGATAACAACAAACGAAGTGTCTCTGTGCTTTCTCAAACAGCGTAAACACCTAGCCGTCTAAAAATGGGCCCAATGAGTATGTGACCATTAGATGTACCGTAGATGACGTCTTGTCTCTTCACCAGCTCTCTGTCCAGCTGCTGCAGGTACTGCTGCTCCACACCCAAACTCCAGGAGTCCGCCTCCAGCTCTTTGACCTCTGCCTCGAACTCCCCCATCAGCTGCCCGTCCATCATTTCTGTCCCTGGACGAATAGAAGCTCATATTTACAATCTTACTGAGAGAAGAGAACAACGCTTGGGGTGTGAGGAGAGGCAGCTGCGTGCGTGAGCTGACCTTCATCGGTGAGGGACTCCATGGATTCTGTAACCTGGTTGGTTCTGTTGAGCGAGTCAGTGGATTGAGAGAGATACCGCAGGCCTTTAATGGGCATCTCATCAAACACGGGTCTGAAGAGAGAAGTGATAATATAGGTTAGAATACTAATGCTGTTTTCATAACGGGTTAGTACCACAGATGCTCGTTAATCTGTTGAAACACGCAGCGTATGCAGTGATGCATTGAGGGGTTCACACATTAAAAAGAAAGATGAATTAACACATAAAAACCAAACAATTAAAAATGCTCTCAATAAAAAGTTTAATATCAACAGAAGCATTGTATCCAATTTAAATGGAAATGTGAACACCCCAGGCTCTTGATGCCACCACATACACACACACACGTCTTACCCAGCTATGTTACTTATTGAGAGGCTCTTAGAGAGGCTGTTTCCGGGGAAAGTCATGATGCCGGTGTGTCTTCGCGCTGACGAAACCATCAGGGAAGAGTGGTCCTCTGGTGACAAGATGGCCGACCATGGGCGTTCCCTCGTCCCACCGGCTGGAGCAGAGATGGTTTGGAACACAGTTAGAGGTGACTCAAAAACACACACGTAACCACAGAGAGTCTTGTAAGTGATCCCTTAATGCTGCAGTGATCTCATTGTGTATCTATTTTTTCAAATCTGTGGATGTAAAGTGTATAACTCTTGAAAAATAGCATTTATTCAAAGCGAAAACTCAATACCATTTAAGTTTTAAACTATTCAAAATCTCCACAGATGCAAGCTGGTGAGACGACTACTTCTTCCACTTAACGATCAATACATAGAAAGGGCACCTTAATATATATATATATTTGTATCATTATTATAATACATAAACTCTAGTGATTGTTCAAGGTTGTATGCTACAGCAACGTTCCACTAGCTGGAAAGTCATTTCATGTTTAAATGTAAAAGCTATCAACAGAGTCACAGAGTGATGCTTTTAAGAGTATGGCATCCAGGGGTGCCCAGAGTCGGTCCTCGAGGGCCGCTGTCCTGCAGGCTTTCCCCGCTTAAACACACTTGATTAACATCATTGTGCCATTAGCAGGCTTGTGCATGAATTTAAAGGAAAAGACAGAGCAACACAAGCAACTCTTGTGTAAGCCATCTGGAAAGGAAAAGCCTCCCATGAATAACCAAGTCTGCATCATATTTGAGGATTTGAACCTCCGCACTTGTAACTCTAAACTGTTGGTTTAAAGTTTAATGTTTGTCAGTTAAAAGGGGCGCAGCATAGGATTGAGGCCATTTCTGGGGTAAACTTGATCGCAATGGCCGTTCGGACCCTGGTTGAGTTGACACTCACATTTGTTCCTCATCGTGACTGCAGGCAGGGTGCTTGAATCTTGTGCTGTGAGCTGCTGTTTTGGTAACTGATCAGAGAAAACAGAGTTAAAATATAAATAAAAGTGATCTTGGCTGCAGGCCAACAAAATTTTGAAGAGAAGCAACTGGGAGGGAACTGGTTTTTTTTTCTTCCCCCCTTTACCTTCATCTTCACCTTGGCACAGACGGGCAGGCTGTCCCTGCAGCTCTTGTGGACGGAGGCATTACAGTCTGGAAAAGAAAAGCAGCAGTCAATCGTGTGAGCCCGGTGGTGCTGTTGGGGCCACTGAGGGTGTGTGGAAAGGTGGGGGCTAGAAATTCTGACTGGTTTTCATGGCCAGCCAGGAAACTCCACCAGTCCACTAATGAAAGCCAGACCGCAGCGCATGTGATGCAATCGAGGGGTAATACTGCTTGTGGACAAATGGAAAAAAAGGGATAGGCTGTGGAATGACGCACACGCCATGTACACAGGACTGCATGGGAACAACTCAATCATGTAAACATCCCCGACTCACCATTTAAGTTCAATAGTTTTCAACAGCTATAATAAGAACCGCTCCGCGTTCTGATCAAGTCGACTCCAACTCTTCTGTGTTCTTAATCAAACTACGGCCAATGACATTTGTGCATACATGCAAAGGAAACGAAAACAACAGGAAGTGACAGCAGGAGGGGGAACTGCTTCTGAATGTCTCAAAATGTCACTCCACCGACAGTTTTCTCAGACGTTCCCAGCGATTTATATGTCGAAATGTTTCCACCTTAACAAAGTTCATTTAACAGACATGCTTGCACAAGTGAACCCCTCAGCCACACTTTTGGAGCTCAGTCTTCCTCGCCGACATGCGTGCATTTCCGCTCTCGGGATTACATCGACACAGTTGCACCTTCAGCCGGGGTGAGAAACTAACGCTATGCAGCTCAGCAAATACAATAAAGCGACAACACTGCCGGGATTTGACAACACTTCCGCTTTCTGCCTGAAAATCTTCATGTGTCTGTGTCTGTGACTTCACATCTTTACCCTCTTTGTTTAATTGGATATTTTCCTGCCTTTTAGGGCTGTTCAACTAATTCCAGGAACTCTGAGACAAAGGATCCCTGTATTTGTCTGCTGAGTGGACACCAGCCAGACATCTGCGAGTGTAAACCTCCTGAAAACACCCTCAGAACTGTTTGTGACTAACAATCTGAAACAGACGAGCTGAACACAAAAAGAGCTGTTTCTTTTAAGCCTTGAGTATATGAGGCAGAATGTGACCATAGAGAAGATGGCTGCAATGCTTTGCAGAAGCCATTTCTCCTTTTAAGTATTTCTTCGTCTTCCCCTTGTATGTGGGGGTTAGCTAGAGACATAAGCGTTGTGCAATAAACTACATCCTCTTTGGGTTGACAGCCGGTACTCCATAGACAATTCAAAAACAGCTTTGTTGTCTATACTGCCGAGCAGACTGGGCTATATTACAGGACACCCGTTAGGGAGTTACAAGACTTCACAGAGATCTCAAGGCTGGCTGCATGCAGCCATTTAGCCAACCACAATTATGAGGTGTAGGAGGGGTACAGCAAGTTATACATGTTAGAAAAACATGACTTGCTCATGCTTCCTGATACCAATACCTTCAGAAAAAGCGCCAAAGGGTCAGCATTTTCAATAAGGATCGACACAGACACAAATGAATACTTTCTATCGCTAAAACGCTTAAGAAATTAGGCTAAAAATGACAGCTGTATGCTATGAATTGAGATTTACAGTAAGCTGGCGTAGCCTGCTCTACAGAATGAGTCATGGCTGCTGAAGTACGCCCACTGAGGACAGATCATTTCCACTTCTTTCTCTCTCCATGTCCAGTTTAGTGCTCTCAGCTTGACTTGCCTTCAGAACAGACGCGGAATTGAGCTGATTAATTCTTTTATCAGAATATTTGAATTTGACAAATCAAATGCAGGTCGTAATAGGGAATAAGCAAATAGGCACGGGGGAAAAGATACTTACATGTGCAAAGGAAAACCTCCTTGTTATTAAAAGCCTTATTGCACTGGGAGCACTGGGAGACCTGGTTCGATCCCACTTGTGTGAAAAGGTGACCATTCAATGTCTTCTTGTCTTTTTCCTTGCCTTCTTTGTCTTTCTCCCGTTTATCCCGTTCCTTTTCCTGGAATGAGTGAAACACACCAGTTAACATGATTCAAGTGTGCCCTACTGCTATTTTACTGTATCAACCAAAAACAAAGTGAAGGACAGAATGAGGCGGTGAGGAGGTCACAGTTACTTGTTGACCTAAATAACATACCACATATGTTGTACCCACATATGAATTCCAGAGAGCAATATAATTACTCAATACAGCAAGATATCTTGCATATTAAGTGACTTGCTTTTTACAAAGGATTTCATAAAAGAACCACTTTTTTTCAATTTTAGTAAAAGATGCAATGTTTACAGGGATGGCTCTGATCGTTAATATGAGAAGAAAACTCCCTTTCCATACACCATCTTAGATACCAAATACTGCAACAAGTCCCCCCCTCATCATGACAATGTTTGCTGATTACTGAACGACTGCTCATCTTTACTTCTTAGAGACCTTGCCCCGGAGATGGTGCTCTTTTCATACCCACTCATGTTACAAACCTCTTGCAAATTAACCTTATAAATGGTACAACTTGTACTTGTACTAACATTAGCCTCAAAGTTTTGTTTCCCTCAAATTTAAGATGAGATCATACTTAGATTAGATTTAAAATGTCTCACTTTGAGGATAGACTAGTGCGTTAAGAAATCCACAAATCTCTACATTCTATTATTTCAATTTTAATCAGATGTCCAAAATTATTGTGTTTTTCTTTAAATTGCGTTCAAATCTATCTGACCAAGTAGGGAGTGACGCATCTGCAGGATACATGACTACTGACGGAGACACACTGTCTGGGAATCACATCTCCGACCTTTCCATAACAGGCTGGTCTTTCTGCTGCCTTTGCATTAATGGAGGAGCTCATCCTCAGCAGTTGGTCATCCCTGCACACTGAGCTGAATCACGATCCCATAAAGCAGTGCCGAGAAGAACAGAGCTCTTATTCTCTTGGATTTGCATCACAGAGACTCCACCCAAACCCAGAGGAAATGGGAAAATGAAGTTTTCCAGCTCATTTTAATGGCCAGCCTTGGGCCTTTTGGTTTGTGAGGACCACAAAGGCTCTGATGAACTGGGGGTTCATTTTGCTCGGTTTTCGGATGCCAAAAGGCTGACAGGACAACAACACATTTCAAAGCCGTTACAACAGACAGCATTCATTCTCACTTCCTGCAACAAGCGTCTAACCAATAATGAAACCTACCGATAAAGTTCCACAAATAAAACACCTAATAAAAGCTCCTTCAGCGCAGTTGGAATTATTCACTGATACCTTTTATCTAGAATATGAAAAAAAACAACTATTTAAAGAAAGTTCAAATATAAAGTGAGAAAGACAAAAGGAGAAAGGACCACTCGCAGCCGTTTTTGTCTGCGAGAATTCTTCACAGGAGATGTTATCACTTGTGACATCTGAGCTAGAAGTTTAAACGGAGACATTCTTGTTGGAAAAAAAAATCTAACTGGCGGTGACTTCACTGGAAAAAGACATCAGTCCAGAGAGAAACACTTCAAACATGTTGCCGTGACAGCTACAACACTTAGACTACAATGTGGCGGCAGAAAGCACCGCGCTCTCTCAGCCTACCTCCTGCCAACCTTTCCATCTGAGCGAGAAGCCATGGCTCCCAGCGAACCTCCTGCATACCATCACTGGCTGCGGCCCAAGCGGCTGAAGCTAAAACCAGCACTGAGCCTCCATCAGGAAGGCTGCATAGAGGAAGTGACTGCCTGCTACAGGAGGCGATTTTGCAATCACCCTTCGGTCTGATGCAGACACTGTGACAAAACTGCACCAGCTACATCCTCTTCCACGGTGTTTGCACTTTCAGTATTGGGTGACACACTCTCACACACTCGCATATAACTGTTTGATTATGAATAACTTGAAAGAATCGCCATGTGATGGTAAAATAAAAAATGGTTATTCTTGTTAATTAATCAAATAAAGATCTTTGCTCCTAATGTAGTGTGCGATCTACACCTTCTGTTGTCACTGAAGAAGCAGATGCCATCCAGCAACCATGACAACCAGCTGTCGCAGCCAAATAGGTCCCTTTAAAACGTCAATGTTTTTATTGGTAGCCAATCATTTTGACCGATTGCTGCGAGCTCTTGAAGAATCCTGTCGCTTTAAAAGCAAAGCAATAGCTGCGCTTAGAGAAGATTGGAAAGCCACAACCAAGTCGGCCTTCCTGTTTTACTTCCTCTTCACTCTGCTGTGTCTCTGTGTAAGGGGCTGCAAGTTTTACACAGACGTTTCTGAATGTGTGCACTTTATTCTACTGCGTTAAATGTAGGGCCCTTTAGAAAACCACCATGGAAACACATTTAGATGCCCGAGTCTGTGCTGTAGATGCAGATTAGAGACGACAAGACGGAATGTCAGAGTCAAATATTAATGTTGACAAATGTACTCTTAAATCACATCAACAGTTACTAAATAAAACACTCCTGCACTTTCAAAATGCCACCTCTAAATACAGCACCATGATTTCCATATCACAGCAGCGTTCAAGTCATTTCAGGCGGAACTGGTGGATTTGTTGTATTTTTGTCATTTACTCTGACCAAGCCCCACAACAGAGATTTCTGTCTGCGATAAGGAGATTCTCAAGCCGCCGTGCCTGGGATGAACAGGTGTAGGATGCTTTTTTTTAACCCTAAAGCAAAACATTGTAAGCCCCAATTGATCAATTGCAGCAGCTCAGAGGCTGGGGAAAGAGGGCACATAAAGCAGATCTCAGTGTGAGTGGGACAGTTGAGCCACACGAATCTGAAAACCAACCAGGTGTTCAGTCATCCCTACTTAAAAGGATAAATGTTTAAGGAGGGCTGCAGAAGGTGGCAGTGGCATGGTTAAACACGCAAAGTGTCTTTCAAAATCTCATGTTTGCTCACCCTTGTCTTTTTGTACATCTTGTTCTTGAGGTAGCTGAAGGTCCGGCTGACTTTTGTCCCGCTCTTTCCCTCAGTGTCGCTCCTCAGAGGCCCAGGCTCCTCCTCAGATATACTGGAACACATACACACACACAAACACACGTACACACATTGATATTACTCCCACAAAAACTGAAACAGTTCTTCATAGCACCACAAAGGTTCCATTGTGCTGTAGAAACAGTGGACAGCTTCTCCCACACAGTTTGTTATGGAACTTTAAAGGTCTGAGCTGCTCGGACAGCTTCTGAGAACGTGTATTAGCACAGCTCAACTCACCTGTATGCCAGTGACCCCGAGGGGCTAGAAAAAGACCTCATACCTGCAGAGAAAGAAAATGTGGGTTAGCCATTCTTATTCAGCAAAAGAAGCTCTATTTTTCAGCCCTTTTATTCAGGTGACAAGCGTCTCAGAGTCCCCATTAACCACGCTCATCCTTTCAGTGAATACCCAGCCAGTGCATGAACTCACTGGCAAGTCATCCTTTTGAGCCACTTGTTTGTGCTTCATGGCCTAGCTGCAGGAATTTGGCTGATTGTTGAATTGCCCTTGAGCAAGTTATTGAGCTTTTACCCTTGTAGAACTAAGGGAGGTCAGATCGTAAGTTACTGTTACACAGGAGAGGTCACAAGCTCGTAGCAGTGCCATCTTTGAATCCAGTAAAACTCACAGGATAAATGACTAAGGACTACAAAGAATAAAAAAAACTGTCCACACAAAAAAGGAAGCTGTGTAAAACAATGATTAAATAAGCACAGCCAAACAGGATCATGACGGCAAAGTTTTGGCACGCTGCGGTGCTAGCTACACACTCAAGGAGATGGAGGACACTGATGGAAATATTCTAATAAACTACCAAAACATACGATGGGGAGTGTAAAGGTGAGGGGAAAAGCATTTCCTTATATTATAAGCAGAGGTTCAAAAAGGGTTATTTTTCTGTTCCCATCTTTCTCCAGAAATTCTGTTTGGGTTTTCTTTTTCCCCAGAGAGTACAGAAAGGCTGGTTTATGTGCAGGTCAATGAAGTCCTGCTCTGCGCAAGGGACGGGGGAGCTGAAATCTTATGCAGCATGGCCCTCTGCCAAAGGTTAGAAGGCTGTTTTCTGCTCCAGCAGTTTGGCTTCAAGCATATTCAAATGCACAATCGTACTGCCAATAGCTTAATGCCAGCAGTAATTAGAGGTCTCCTTATGGCAAGTTTATTGCGAGAGAACATTCAAGCTTCATCAGCATTTAGTGCCGTTTAGTTTTGCCAGTCCAGCACTGAGCACTCAAAACATAGTGGGGACCTTTATCAAATTGTGCTTCTTTAGAGGAGGTGAAACTTCCAGTTGCAGATGGGCACTCAAGTGTGGTTGCATGTGTAATTATTTCAGCGTGTTTGGGATTTTTATGGCGTCCCTTCACCAAAACAAAAATCTTGGTTTGACTATAAAGCTTGTGAACCCTCTTAATCCTTTCACCGGCCACAGGGAAAGACGGTAAAGTTACAGGGGGAGGCTCCATGCCTATTGCTCTGATTCTGACACGACATCTACTTTCTACTGCAGCTAAAGTCCCAGCTGAGTACTTACTCAGGTTATCCTCATCATCGCTGGATGAGGAATCCCCGAAAATGAACTGAGACTTAGACTTGGTGAGGATTGGGGAAAGGTTGAAAGAGAAGGAAATACGCCTCTTACGTCTCAGGCGTCCCACCGCTGCGAGGGCAGGGAGGAGAGAACCACACGGATCATTTGTTTTAAAAACGGAAAAAAAAAAATCATAACCTGACGAGAAGGATGAGCAGATTTTGACAAGCTGGTAGAAATGTCCACAGAATACCTTCTCTTCTAGGAATCTATTTGAATGCATTAACTCTGTCCTACCCCCCCTTTTTAGAAACAGAAGCATGTGAAGTGAACTGAGAAGTTTAACATTGACTCTTTGAAAGGATTTTCATGTAATTGAATAAAGCGGTACTTCAAAGCAGGGCAAACAAAAAGGGAAATCATTTGATTAAACGAACACAAGAGGCTGAACGTTAAAAGAAATGACTTGATTAGATTTGTAACTGAAATGGGATCAAGCCAAGGCGGTCTCTCACCATCGGTGTCTTTATGGCTGATGGCGAGCATGGACACAGACTTGGTGAGGGGGAGGCTCATGGAGGGGCAGCTGTTCCGCAGAGGCCGATACCGCCTCAGTTTCTGCATCATGGGACACAAAGTTCAATCAAATCTGCTGCCTGACATTTTCGAAAAAGAACACAAAGGCAGGAGAAGAAACTGTGGAACAGACATCAAAAGCTCTAATCTGGAAACAGGAACCATGAAAAAAAGAGGAAACTGGATATTTGATTTCTGATGTTATGTCTACCGTCTGCTGTACAGTCAATGAGAGAGAAATAAAACTGCCCCGAGGACAACGATGATTATTAATTCTCACTAATCCCCAAACTCACGGCTCGCATTTCCCCTGACTGTTGGGGATACTTGTTTATCTACGAGCATTACAAATCCATTTGGCCTCTAATGCATCGGGCTCAGGATGATTCTGGGGATCCTTCAGAGTGACACTGCACCGATCTGACATCTAAAAGACTTGAATGTCTGCCCCAGCTTACGGGATCGTGCAGTCTGTCATTCTCCTCCCGCTCCTCCTGCTCCTCTGTGAGGGAAACCAGGGAGCCCCTGTCATCGCTGTCATGCCGGGGCATCCTCGTGGGCTCCGGGAGACGGGGCCCTTGGCCAGTGGAGCCCCTCAGATCATCTCGTCCCCCACTGAGCCCCTCCAGGCTGTAGCTGTGTTGACAAAAAAGAAAAAAACGGAAAGGTGACCTCCGCGAAAGAGAAGTGAGTGGGCCCTGCACACGCTCCACTGGTCTGGCTGGATTATTAATCACAGCTCTGTGGACTTACACACACACACAACTGCTGCTGGGGAAAAAAAAAAAAACTCACACACATGCACACACAGACATGCACCTGTAGACAGACACAAACACAAAGCTGGTCCGGCACAGTGTTTAGTCAGCTGAGTTATCGCCGGGCTCGGGAGCAGATTTACAGCTGATGCAGCTGCAAATGACTTCCAACATCAGCATCAGCGGCGAGAGCGCTGCGGCAGTGATTTACAAACCCAATTACATCTTTCTATGACTGAGAATAAGAGGCCTTGAAAAATCCAATACAATGATTATGGGCAGGAAAACTACAACTACATTTCAGTATGAGCTATGCCAGCAGGCCACGGCTCTGCTGGCTGCAGGACAGCCGTGTTGATGGTTGAAGCTGTGGCGGTAAATCTTTCTTTTTCCTTTTTTTTTTTTTTTTTTTACCTTCAGCTTCTGGGTTTGTGTGACACTCCATTATCCCGCAAATCATCAGTCCCACACTCTCAGGAATCAGTAACTAAGGCTGGACTAAAAGAATCATCAGTGGCCGGTGCCGAGCAGCTTTCACCAATCCTTAGAGCCGTGAGTGCAGACGGCTATATCTGTCACATAAAAGCCTCTTTTCCGGCAGCGGTGATATTTTTCCCTCCTGAGCCAGAAGGTCCTCCGTGCTGAATAATGCCTTGCAGCTACTGCAGCTCCCATATGCAGGAAACTGCTGTCTGACTGACAGTTAAGGGCATAAACAGATGTAGGAAAACATTTCCTTTAAAAAAAAAAAAAAAAAAAAAAAAACACCCACAAAAAAAAAAAAAAAAAAACAAAAAAAGAAAAAAAAAGCCCCTTTAAAAAAAAAAAAAAAGTGCTTTCAGAACAAAAAACAAAACAAAAAAAAACTGGAACCAACAGACTGTACCTGTGGAAATTAACTACTTCCACACCACTGCTGTAGAGAGCCTCGGGGGGACACCAGCTGATACTAACAGAGAGAGGTGGGGTATATTGAGGTGAAGTGATGGGATGATGGACAAACAGTTACGGCAGGGGTAGCGAAGCGGTCAGAGGAGTTGCAGGGGTGTCTCCAATAACTGCACCACATTTCCCACGGTGGAACACAAACACTGGGGTTTATTTCCTGCGGCAGAGCTGCGATCCTATCAGTGGCACGCAGGAAATAAACCTGACACATAGCGGCGTCCCAGAAAAGCAGCTGGGCACTGGCATTATGTAACTGTATGTGGCCGTATAATTCTGTATGTGGCAGTATTTGGCAGCATGTGACAGTGTGTGAGAGTACCCTGCAGCATGTAATAGTATTTGGAAGTATGTTACAGTACATGGTAATATTATGCAGTATGTAGCAGTACAATGCAGTATGTGACAGTATACTGCAGTATGTGACTGTATATGGTACTATGTGGCGGGATTTGACAATATGCTGCAGTATATGTATATGTATAGGTATACGTATGTATGCATGTATACAGTATATGTATATGTATGTACACAGTATATGTATGTATGCAGTATATGTTGCCGTATGTGACAGTATACGTTGCATTATGTGACAGTATACAGTACTATGTGACAGTATGCTGTAGTGTGTGACAGTATATGGTACTATGTGACATTATGTGACAGTATGCTGTAGTATGTGACAGTTTATGGTACTATGTGGCGGTATTTGACAATATGCTGCAGTATATGTCGCAGTATTTGACAGTAAATGGTACTATGTCACGTTATGTGACGGTATGCTGTAGTATGTGACAATATATGATACTGTCTGGCGGTATGTGACAGTATGGTGTAGTATGTGACAGTTTATGTTACTGTGTGGCGGTATGTGACAGTACGCTGCAGGATGTATCAGTATATGGTACTATGTGATGGTATGTTACAGTTTATGTTACTGTGTGGCGGTATGTGAAAGTATGCTGCAGGATGTGACAGTATATGGTATTGTGTGGGAGTATGTGAACGTTTGTGACAGTATAATGCTGTATGTGACAGTATGTGGCAGTTTGTGGCAGTATGTGGCAGTATGTGGCGGTACATGGCAGCATGATGTAGTATGTGACATTATGTGACAGTTTTTGACAGTATTTGTCCCTTTGCAATGACAGACATGCCATATTTATTGCCTAGGACATATAAAGAAGGAGTGAAACAGTGATTCCAACACTTGACACTTGCACTGGAGACCATATGGACCCAAGTTATGGAATGCTTTGGTTAGTATACCTAAAAACAAAATTCCACAGTGATGATACAAGATGCAACGCTTTTAGCTTTGCTTTGCTTTTTGCAAAGTCCTATTTGTCATACAATCTCTTCCCACCATAGATGTGGATGGTATTTTTTTGGTCTGACCAAAGTGTACATTTACTTTCACTGTGTGAGAGTCCATCCAAAACATCTCTGAGTCCAGAGAAGTTCATGCTGTGTCTACAGAAGTTTATTTTCTTGCCCAGTAGAGCTTTAGGTGATACCTGTGAACCAACCATGTGGTTCTTTCAGTGATTGATGAATAGCTTTTCTAGATGTCGTGATGTTGGTGGGATAGAAGACCAAACGTGTCTTTGCCCAAAAAGTCCTTCTTTGAGGACCACAGTTTTTAAACTTTTTTTTTTCCACACACAGCTTCTCATGGACAGAATCAACTATCCCAGAAACCTTTTGTTGCATACCTGAAAAGCAACAATGGATGTATATCTAAAAAATTTAGCTAACAAAACCAGATTAAATATTTTGGGTCCATACAGTCTGCAATGTAAAGAAGAAGCCGCCACCATATAATTCCATTTGATTTTCATTTTGTTTCTGATTTGATGATATTTCCCTTTCTCTTACCTGAGGTCTTTGGAACGAGATGATCTCAAATTACAGTCCTTACGTCTTTTTTGTTAAAATCATACATATCACTAAAATGTTGTACTTCATCATTCTGTAACTTCAGCTGTTCCCAGACTCAAAAGAGCTGACTGGTCAATATTGTAATGGCGGCATTGAAATTTAAACTCAATCCAACCATGTCCTTCCTGTTCCTGTTGGAATCACACACTCGACTCAACCAGAATGTGGGCAGTTTGGTAAATTATAAATGCCTGTTTCAATAACCTTCACCAGTGCAGGATGAGTGTTTGGCTGGGTCTACAGAACTGAAACAACTGTTCCAGTTCATGCAAACAGCATTAACTTTAAATGATGCTGGCTCTTTCTCCGCCACTTCTTCCTGCTCCCATTTGATCAAAGCGCTGCTCAAGTAGATTAGCTAGAACAAGTTTCGGCTTCTGTAGCACATTGTCTTCTCCTCCAGAACCAAATTCAAGCTCTCCTCACACCTACATAGCCCAGACAAATTTCCAGACATCACTTTATTCCACGTCAGAGCTAAACTACCCCTTTCAGCTTTTGGTGAATGCTTGCTGATATCACGACCATATAAAGCATCAAAACCCCACCCATCCTTTTGCCACAGCACTTTATGCAGATTTCAAGATTCCAAAAGAGGTGAAAAATAGGAGTTTTGTTGGGCCATTTTCAGCCAAGTTACTAGCAGAGATGCAGCAGAAAAGCAGAAAAAGTCCAGCAACCATTTGTTAAAAAGCCCACACAAAAGATATATTTGAGTTACACCAATACACAAATCAATGTTAGCAACACAAGAACTGAGAAATGGGATTCCAAAATACCTTCTCCTGTGAAAGGCCGGTTTCCCCTCACCAGGGCTACGAATGGAACTGGAAGATGGATGAAAACAGAGACAGGAAGTGGTGGGTAATGAGTAAGATGAAATGGGATGTGAGAAATTAAAAATACTTTTCGCTCGATGATGGGATCCCAAGTTTTTTCAGGCAGGGGGGATTTTATGGCACTACTAAGTGTAAGGAGCAAGAGGGCTGATGTTTTCTCAGAACAACGATCATAAATTAACTGTTCTTGGGAGGTCGTCACGAGTTTTTTTGGCAAGAGGTAAATTATAGCAGTAATACAACTAACATGTGCTACTCTTCGTTACGGAGTTGATGCCAGGAGAATCTTAGGAGGGCAATTGGCTGGAAAGAGCTACTTGGGAAGAATACAAAGAACTATTCCTAACCCAAAATAAGAATTTCTGAGTTTAAAAAGTAAGTTTTGGCATTAAGCCTAAAAACAAAATAATAAATGAGTAAATAAATGCAAAACTATGCAGCGCAAACAGTTATAACTTAGCTTGTGGGCTTTGCGAGCTGTCCCACTAGACACATTTTTGTGGGTAAATGAAGGCAATAAGCTGCTGGTGGTAGCTTTGTGGTAAGCATGCTGACATCCTCTTGAAAACGTGATGGAAACTGGACCATTCTTTTTATTTGTCTACATTTATCTTAGACTCCTTATATTCTGTTTTTTTCTTTCTTTTAATTGCTCAAGTCTTATTTTCTCTATTTCACTCCATTAAAACAATGGAGGTTTTCAATTTGCTTTCAAATATTTACACTTTACACAAAAGAAAGACATGGATAGGTCGGGGGCTCCGACCCAATACAGTGCAGTCATTAAAACGCTGTTTAGGCGCTCCTGCAGAGACCATGTGACAACTCCCCGTATCCCACTAACTTCTGTCACTGCCTGGTGAGGACAGTTAGAGAAGCTGCTCTGCTGAGACAGACAGACAGACAGACAGACAGACGGCTGTCTCTGAGGAGGCAGATGCTGAACAGAGGATGCAGTCAGTGAGGATTTAATGGATGAATGCTTCAAAAGCCTTTGTGAACCACAAGCATGTCGCATTAAATGCGGATTCTAAGAAACTCTTAGCAGAAAAGCAGACTTTTGACATCAGTGTGAGACGAACAGGACGCACGGATGACGTGCCCCTCGCTCTTCTTACATTCTGTTTAAAAAAAGGTCACAAATCAGTGTTTTTGTGTTCATTCACTGATTTCAGATGACTCGTTTTTCTTTTCTTTTTTTTGTAGACAGCTGGATAAAGTGGTGTGAGTGTGCATGAGTGTGTGGCTTTGTGGCTGGAAGTGTGACACGTGCTGAAGTGTGGATCCGAGCATTCGTGTAAGAGCATCTGTGTGTGTATTTTGGGTAGCTCCTTGCAGTTGGTAGACAAACGGAAACACAGCTGCGCACAGCGAGGGGGATCAACATTTCGACGTGGCGGGGTGACATCGGCAAGCTGTGAGAGCTTTGTCATGTGATCCATGACCTGCGGGTGTCCAGGACCAGTGTCACACCCGAGTGGGCGTCAGCCGCAATAACTTCGGGAATCGTTCTTCTACGAGAGGCTAGTGTAATCTGGACCCCTTTCCCACTCTCACCTCCTCTGGTTCATCTCTGCCTCTCCTCCGTTGTTCTTTCCTGGGCCCCAGCTGTGGCGGCGGAGGGGCGACAGGGAGCGGTTGCTGCTCCGGAGGATGCAGGAGCGCCGCGGCACCTCGGTCACTCGGTCTTTGGCCTCCTCTTCCACGTCCCCAGCTCCCCCTCCGCTGTTGCCACTGTCGGGGCCGCCGGCGTTGGCCGCCGCCGTCCTGGTGCCCTCCTCTGGGCTCCAGCTGCAGCCCAGCCCCTGGCTCCCCTCCGGGCTTGAACTGGGAGGGCCGACGCTGGCGGTGTCGTCGGTGGAGGAGCAGGAGACGGAAACCTCGCTGGCGCTGTCTCCGCCCGTCACCGGCTCGTCGTTCTGCGGACATCCAAAACGGGCGCACAGGCATTAGTGTGATTTGAACGCATCGCTGCCTCGCGTCATGCGTTCTCTGTGGGGAAACTGTCAAGGTAAGACGGCTCTCCCATAAGTGATAGTGTGTCACGTTCCACGAGAACGGCTTCATTAATTTAACACTCGGGGTGCCGACAAGTGCGGCGGTATCACTTCAAGTATTTACTTCGATTACAGATTTAATCATGAAGCACTCTAGTTAGTGAGAGGAAACTACATCAGAGACACTGGGGAGTCTGGCTCTGCCTGCACAGCCACACAGTAAGTGGAGCCTTTAACCTGACAAAACAAAACAAAACAACAAAATTCTTCCTTTTTTTGGAAAAACATGAGGAGGGAGTGCAGAAAAAATATCAATGATAGCGCATAAGACGATGCACAACACAACCAAACTAACTAAAGCAGAACAACAGATGTCCTTCAAATCATTGGTAATCACCTGGCCCATCACATTGTACATCCATCAGCATTTCCTCACTGAGGCATGCGATGAATTCACAGGAGGCTGGAAGAGCCATTTAATCCACAGGAATGGAACATAATGAGGACCAAATGGCCGACTTTAAGAATAACGAGCCGCAGCCACTTTATAGCAACACTGACATTATAACAAACACCAATAAACGATGGGGGAAACAAAGCTTTCGCAGATGTTTCTGAATGATGTGCAGTCTTCCTTCTTTTTTTTTAAAGCCCATTCTAAAAGTCAAGGGACTCTCATGGTAAACAGCGTGCAAGCAGATCCACCGTATATTTGGAGAGGATTCTGCACTTTTGACACCGTTAAACGCGTGGCTGGAAGGCGCGGAGGACAAAGTTCATGGGTCAAAAATACTCTCAGGTTGAGATCGGTGAGAACAAACCCCCGCACGGGGACACACAGGTTTGGGACAGTGACTTTTTTTTTTAAAGCTAATTTGTAGGTGTGAGCTTTAACTGGGGCTATTGTGCTGCCAGCTGCAGTGTGAGCCGTAAGCATAGAGCTGCTTCTGTTGGAGAGCTGGGAAAGAAAGCTCTGCTTTATGCTGCAGACACAACTTCCTCTGGGAGTCAGAGAATACATGAGCTTATGTGTGTGTGTGTGTCTCTGTGTGTGTATGTGTGGGGGTAGGCCGGGGCAAGGGGTGCATGTGACTGCAGTGAATATTCTAACTTTTTATATTTCAGGCTTCTGAGTCTTTTGTCCTCATGCAACGACAATTAATGAGCGCTTCAAATTACGCTTTCTTTCCCAAGGGCACGGGATGAACACAGGATGCTCGGCTCACGTGCTGCTGAGATCAAAGCCCTGACCTTTAGAGTCGCGAAACGTTTTTCTCTCCCCGTTTCTCTCCATTCGCCGAACTGCGTCTTGCAAAGAGAAAGACGTCTTCTCTTCTGAGAGCAGCAAAGAAGATAATCCACCCTTTCAGAATCCTAGCGTCTGCGGCCTTCGGTTTGAATTCAAAGCCTGCGAGCTTCGTGCCACATTTTGCCCGTCCTCTGTCCTGACCGTCGGCATCGCTGTGTCTGCTCCCAGGGATCCGATATTCACAGCGCCGGCTCCATTGTGCCGTGTGTTTACAACTGACGGGACATGTGGCTCACATTACCATGGGCATGTTTCAAGAGTTCAATGCAGCAGAAAGGCATAATACTGCACGATGCAAGCATAACCAAAGGGTGCCTGGCTTCACATGGACTTTCAACAGCAGCCCAGAGACGGCGAGGACCTCGGCTCACACTTTCAACGCTGTGGAGCAGAGCTGCCGGGTTACACTGAAGCCCAGTTGATGCTTGGAATCTCAGCCTTGGGGCACTGAGAAATAAAGCCGAGCTCAGCATGAGAACAAGAGCTATGTTATATATATGATATAATCCCTATTGGGGTTGAGGCAGAGGCAAACAAACTATATTCCTACTGTTCAAGATGAGAGAGTCTGACTGGGAAGACTGCAGCCAGGGAAGGATCGCAGGACTACAGACTTCACAGCAACATAAAACTGAATGCAGTGCACTTTTCCCCTGCTTTCCTTTTTAAATCCATCTATCGACCCTTCAGTGGTCCTGCAACCTTTTCATTTAGACTCACACAGGAGAAAAGCACCTGTTCCGGGCCTGGAAAACTAAAACTGCTGGCAAAAGGAGCAGCACTTTTTTTTTTTTTTTTTTTTTTTTGCTGAACCAGCATTAGTAAAGTAGGGCCTCAGGGTGGGATTACAAAGAGAAACAGAACAAATACACTCAAACTATGTCCTTGCTGTGTTTGAAAAAAAAAAAAATCACACATCTAATTTAGAGTTATACATTTATCTAAGAGAAAATAAACTCCTTAAAAAATAATCTATTTGACCAACTGAAGTTGAAACAGCGTGAAAGAGCCCAGCACTCTGAAAACAGTGCAGTTGGTTACTATTACTTTTTGTGGCTCTGCTATTTCCAACACAGACTCTTTCCACTTCCCGGGGACCGTCGTCACCCAGAACCTCAAGTGGGAGCTGAGCGTCAGCTTCTTCATCAGAATACGACAGAAGAGGTTGAACTTCTGCTCTGCTACTATCCAGTTTGTCTTTGCCTCGCTCTAAAGTTAAATTAAGTCATAACGAGCTACTGCTTTTTCTTCTTTCTTTATTTCTGCTGAATTCTGACTGGCGTTTTTTCCTAGGATGTGTTGTTTAGTTTTTTTTAGATGAAACGGACTGTTTAGGAATCCATCAAGCCTGTGGTATGTTACAGACCTTTCTGAAGATGCCGTCATATCCCGGGTCTGCATTGAGAAGGCTTTCTATGTCACTGCCAGAGTCTCTGTGAGCGGAGGAGGGACAGCTGGTGGAGCTGCTGGTTCTGCTGGACAAACTGGGATATGCTGAAGACGCCGAGGAGCCTGAAAGACACAACAAGTATTATGAAACACAAGTACTGCAGCTTGAATAAAGGAGACAGTACTTTGAAAACGATCTATGCATTTTAAGCACAAAGACAAGCTTTTATAAAGTCATTTATAGCTGATTCTGTGCTAATATTTTCCAGCGAAAGTCTTCAAATGGAAAATTGAGATTCTTTAGTTTCCCCGGCACAAACAGGTCTGTTAGGCATCAATGAAAAGACTTCTGGGAATTTGAGAAGGTGTGAAAAGCTGGGGCAGATCAATAGTCCACAGTCCTAAATGAGGCTGCCTGTGCTCAATGGCAAACAACAGCCGTTTGTGCCTCTCAAGAGGTCTGAGGTCAGACATGGTGAGATGGAGTGATGTGAGCAAAATCTGTTTTGTTTTTAGCTTTTAAAAGTGACTTCAGCTGACAGTTTTATAAAAAAGACATATATATGAGAGTTAAAGCCCAATCTAAGCAAACAAAGGCAACACTGACGTGCTCTTGAGTCACCACTTCCTCCACCTGAATCATAACCCCTGCCGGCACTCTTAAGTTCTGAGCTAAATATCCACGCTCAGTTTTTAACTCATCTAGTTTCATTGCTCTTTAGCCTTAAGAAGTTTTGAACAGTGAGCAGTTTTTTTTTTCAGTTTACACCCACCACCTCTCATACCCCCTCGTTGAATAATAAAAACAGATCTACCGGCATAAAATTCCCAACTCTTATGCAACGAAGTCCAGGGTGTTGCAGTTTTTTGGACATGTAAGGTCATGCACAGATAATATTCCCGGCCTAGCTAAAAGAGGAAGTGTTTGCTCATCCACACATGTGTACCGGTGGGCTTTCTTTAGCCAGCTGCCAAGAACAACTGCATGAGATCATCCACCAACTTTGTATGATCCTAAATGTCTATTTCTGCCTGAGAGAGAGGAAGTTTTGCTTTGTCCCAAAGGAACATTTTGCCATCATTGCACTCATGAGAACAAGAGGAAATGGCTTTTGTAAATGTACTTGAGTGCTCATCCTTCAGGAGTCCTAAATGAGGCTCTTGGACATCCACTTTTGGTACTATGGTTACAACTTGACGGGCCATTTAATTAGACCACACGTTCCAGCGTGCATGCGTTGGAAAGAAACTGGTTTAGAAAGCCAAACTGGTTTAGCACAGTGACGCAGTGGGCAGCGTGAGAAACATCCGAGACATTCTGCCGATTCAAACTCTCTCCTCACAGCACAGAAGCTGTCTTTTAGACGTCGCTATGGTTACAAAAAACAGGATTTTATTAGAGCAGAGCCACACGCTGGAAATGTTTTAAGTGCCCGTTAGTTGACAGTCTTTGTGGGCTGAGTTTCAGTCCTAGTATGTGACCAATTAAGCCCCCTTCGATCAAATAAAACAAAAAAAGCTTTCACTGAAGAGTTTATTATAAAATTGCCTTTATTAGAATGAATGTTTTTTATGAAAAAATAGGAAAAGGTAGAAATTTGGAGCAAATGTAGATTTCAGTTGAGCTTGTATATGCAGAAAGTATTTGACCCCCCAAGCACGTTAGCTGATTGATTTAGTACAGGTTATCGGACCAACACAATATTTTCATCATGTAATGCACTGAAATTGTTATTAACACCATCCATGTCAGAAAATTGTGAAATAGAGAAGGATTAGTGGGTATAATTACAGTCTTCTATGCTGTAGAAAATAAAATAAACCCTTTCATTCAGCTTTTACACATTAAAAACAAAGGCAGAATTCATATGGTTCTTAACAGCTCTTTTTTTGTGTTATATAGAACCTCACAAACCTGGTATGCAGCTTTCAGGTGTGTGTTAACACAAGGATGAAAGACATGAACAATGATCTTTCAAAAGCAGTTGCTTCTGCCCATCAATCAGGGAGGGGTTATAAGGCCACCGCAGACAATTTAGAGTCCATCGTTCTACAGTGAGAAAGATTATTCCCAAGGGGGGAACATTCTAGATGGCTGTCAGTCATCCCAGGTGCACACGTCCTGGCAAGTTCACCAGGTCAGACTGTGCACTGACACTGCAGAAGAAATACACGGCCCAGATCTCACTCAGCAGGTCTCAGCCAGCGCATTGATGTTGATGTTGACAGTGCAGATGTGCTTAGCTAGTGCGGCTACATCTCTCATAAAAGCTGCATGGCTTAAGTTTGTAAAGCTACATCTGAAAAAACTAGATCTCTGGAACAATGAGAGAAGACCACGGCGGAAATGTGCAGTTTTAATTCACAAATATCTCATACATGGTGTCAATGCTCTGCTTTTCAGGTTACATTTACCTCATTGTGGGCCGTTTTTAAAGCCATGTCTGCGGCATAATCCTACTGGAATCATAACGTCCACATACATAAAACCTTAGATCCGGCAGAGGGTGTGCTTTCTTTTCCGTAGGACTGCATTCCCATTGGCCGCTCTCAAGAAGGAGTTTGTTGGAATTAGGAGCGCATCATTAACAGTGCACCGGGCCAGTCCTGACTTAAAATGGGCTAAGTTGGGAGGAGTAGGGAGGGATCAACATTCTTTAAGTAGCACAGCGCTGACACATGCGCTGCAGACACAAACGAGGCGGCTTTCACTTGTCGGTCTAAACTCTGTGTCGGATGCATCCCACACTGCTGAGCCGCAGCGGCAGACGCTGACCTCTGACCTCAATCAGACTTTGCTGAAGGCCGTTATCCCACCGAGTGGCAAAACAAGAAGATACAGTGTGTTTGTCTCAGGCCCCGCCCCCTCACACCTGTCCACCGAAACTCGCAGGGGACTGTGAGCTTTGACAGCTGTCTTCCTCCCTCTGTTCAAAACCGAACGCCCCCGACATCGCCACCAAACACACAAGCGCGTGCACACAGAAAGAGCTCAGACAACAGGTGGAAACTCTCGGATGAGTCAGTGGGTGGTTGAGATCGCTGGTGGGGTGTGACATTAAATCACAGGCACTATAAAAAGTTATTTGATTCAACATCAGTGTCACTTTACAGCAGTGTGAAACATATATGAACAGTGACATCTGAACAACAAGAAGGGGCTTTACTTGCTTCCAATGGAGAGTTTGGCTTATTTCTGTGTGCCCGCTGTATGAAAAAAAAAGATCTGAAGAGAAAAAATAACTATAAAGCAGATAGGAGCCAAAACAGCAGTCCGAGTTCAACCATCCTCATGAGATAAATAATCTGCTGGGTCTCAAAAACAATCTTCACTACACACTTTAATGTAGGCTTAGATAAGATACTTTTAAGCATTTAACTGCAGATAAAACTCTTACAGATAAACCCGTACCGCCTATATTCCCTTCTCCTGTATGTCTCACTGCGCACAGTGTCGCATTTCTATAAGGAAATGTGCAGCCAGTTGGATTTTTAGTAGATTGAGATTCCTTTCAGGGAGAGTGAGGCTCAGGAGCCACTCGGGGTTGAATGTGATGGGTGATGTCATCGAGTATGCACAATCTCATCTTCTGTTGTGTGCTTTTTTTTTTTTGGGTCCTCTCTCTGTTGCTGTGACAACTGTAACAGAGCTGAATCAGTTCACAGTGAGCTATCAGTCTACCATCTGCAGTTTATTTGATGGGTTAGACGCACGCACACACACATTCTAAATGCAACCAACCTCTGCACACTGTTAATAAACTAATAAATCCAGTATGCGATTCAGTCGTGAGGGGACTGTTATATGGCCTCACATTTATCTCTGAAGTAAAAATCTGAACACGCAGTTTGCACTGAACCAAAGTGTGATGTAAATCCTTGTTATGATACAGCTGAAACCATGTTTATTTTTCATTTTCACTGCTGATTTTCAACCTGTAACCTCAGACGAAGTGCCCGTAGTTAGATAAATGGGAATGAGTTGGGCTGAGCCAAACAGGGGAGGGCTTATCCCCATTAAAGAATAGGTCATTATGGAATATCACCATCACCACTTTCAGACAAATGTAGGATACACAGGCAGCCTGGTCAGGTTTCAAAACTTTGCTCTTCCAGAAAAACAGGAGCCCAGAGAGCACTGTGATGAGAAATCACAAACACACTAGACTTTTAGAAAAAGGATACAAAACTAAGTCAAACTAAAAAGGACAAAGGGGTTTTGGGACTTCCATCTGGCCTGCAGGTGTCTTTATGGGTCAAAACCAAACTGACATTTGACTCGTGGATAGCCATAGACTATAACTATTAAAACAGATACCAAGGGTACCTGTTAACAGACCGACATTCCCGTTTTAAGATACAAATAAAATATGATACGATTAAGATATTTCAGAATAGTTTAGTGAAGACAAAAACAGTTTAGTGAGATGAGAAAAGACACATGTTCACATATCGAGGCCAAAGTGACTAAAAATATCCCAGCCACTCCTCGGTACGGCTGCTTACACCTGGCACCAACATGTATCACAACTCTGACCGCATCGGGCCATCAGGCTTGAGTGTCTCCAGTGACCACTTGCGATCAGATGCTGTGAACGCAAACAAACAGGCAATTGGCTTAACTGCATGGTTGCTTCGAACCAGCGGGAAGGAGGCTGCAATCCACGGTTACAAGTTGTTGTTTTTTTAAAACAGAAGCAAATTTTAAAATGGGGAATCAGTTTTTTTCTTTGTCTTTAACAGACTAATAAACAGCCGTCTACTAAAATTCTTCCTGTTTTTAATCTATTATCTCCTTTGTTATGGAAAGCACTAGAGCATCTGAACCTTGTGTCAGAACGTGAAACAACCTGATAAGGTATCATTAGTCACAGCGTGTGGACACCTCTGGAGAGCATCAGTTTTCTGCAGTTTCACGACGGCCGACCGCCGCAGCCTTTTCTAACCGTGACCAAGAGTCGCCCGCAAAGCAGCAGCACTACTCGCGTGGACGCGAATACTAAAACAAAACCCTGGACGACAAAGTCATTAAACAAGCAGACGTCACGGCAGAAGAGCCGTATTAGATTGCATCCCTATGCCAAATATTTTTGGACCACCCAGCTTTTTCTAAAGCGAACAGTCAGGCAAGCAAAAGCG